AATGTTAAACTAAGAAAGGATAAGGGGAACTCATCATTTGAAGACTCGAATGCTCCACCGATTAGCGCAGCGGGTCCTGGATTGGATTTTCTTGTTTTACCGCATTGGTTTTATTTAATTTGTTCTTTTAATAATATATTTTAAAAAACGTAAACACGTCACTTACGATTGAAAAAATTTTATATTTACTACTTCATGTCGTTGGCATTTACATTTCATTTATAAGTTTAAGTTATTTATAAACATTCGCTCTCAAAACTTATTAAAGGTTTGTTTGAAAAAACTTTTAATAAGCTTAATATTAAAAATGCTTATTTAACGCTTATTATAGCAAACTTAATTTAAGTTATTTTTAAAAACGTTTACTGAAATGCTTGTTGGGTAACTATTCAAAGTGTGAAAAGAGAAACAACAATATCGCAAGCGTCTCCCACATCCACTGTCTGTATGTACATTAGACCGTATCACCCTACAAGAAAAAGAAAACACCTGAGTCTAAAATATTTTTGTAAGGCTATTTTTTGCCGAACCTAGCGGTGACCTTTTTACATTTTTCGGAGACACCTTCATACATTCTGCAATAAAAAATTGCTTAAATTGTTGTAAACAGTAAAAGGACAGAATGGATATCCTGTTCGCAGTACATACCTCAAAAAATCCTATCTATCTATCTAGTTAAGAACATGGTAGCAGAACAAGGTACACTGCGACCAAAAAAAAATCTTTAAATTTCACGAATGATTTTTGAAAATTGTCTTATACGTACGGAATCGACTGTAAGGACCTAAAATGCATTAGTTTTTCTCGCGCATACACCGGACAACCGCACAAGAGGTGTTCCAATTGCTCGCCGGCAAACCCATCCAGACGCAGTCACACAAAGGCAAAATTTAATGTATGATAATCGAAAAAACAAATCAAGAAAACATTCGTTTTCGCATTCGAATATGCATATTTTCCCCACGGCGATCTCCTACAAAATGTTCATTCAGTTTTGCATTGCCTAGTAATCGAGGAATGTATGCGATTTGATATGAATTTTTTGGGACTTTGGGATACATTATATTACATTTACATTGAGCCCAAATGCGTCATTTGGGCGAGAAACCTCAAATGCGAGGCCAAATCACGCATTTCTCCATACAAATTCACATTTCCAGAATGACGCATTTCGACGCATTTACACAAAATCACGAAACAAATGCGTTCCAATTGCCGTACTATTTTATTGAACGGACTCAGAAACAAAAGTTCCACAAAAGCTTTGGTTTGTCTTTGACATTTGGAATTTTTCAAACACAAAACAAACACAACGAAATAAATAAATCTTTGAAATTTGTGTGTAAAAATTGTTCATTTATACAAGAGCTTTACACATTTTTAGTTTAATCAAAGAATAATTGCCTTTTTGTGTCCAAAAAGCGTTAACAATATAATAAATGTAGTGTTTGTTTACATACATTTTGTTTTTGTCTTCCCTTTTCATTTGATGAGAAGTCAAAGCAAATGCGGATCAAGCAGTGTAAACACCTTCAAATGACTGATTTCAAATCACGCATTTTGGTCCAATGTAAATGTAATAT